CTCGATTTTATACATTAAAAAAATAAATATATATTCTATATGAAAAATTCAAAAAAATAAACCAATCATTAAAGATTTAAAATATATTTAACATAATTCAACAATTACATCTACAAGTCAATATTCGCAAGCTAATCAAAGTATCAAACTATTAAAGTATAAAACACATATTCCAATGGAGTTAATGAAAAGTGATATCATCAAACTCAAGCCCTTCTTGTCCTTTTCATGCATCTACAATAGTATGTGAAAGGAGATCCCTTACCTAATAGATAAAAGCGGAGGAGAGGCGGCGACATGACAAATTAACGGTGAGGAGAGAAGAATTAGCATAGTGGAGGAGATCACCGGAATAGGAAGACTGGGTGTGAGTAGGGGTGTTCACGATCTGAATTTTGATCGGTTTTGAAAGCAAAAAGATCCAATCCCTTCGGTTTAATTATATAACCATGCATGCGATTTGGATTTTTTTTCAAATCTGATTCGATCCAATCCAATTTTATTCGGTTTGGATTGGACCGATTTTTGATTTTTTGAAAAGTCTAAGATTTGTATGATGATTATTGTGCAAATAACATATCTTTTGTATGTATCAGCTTTGTAAAGTTTGTATGATAATTATTATGCAATCTAGAAGCATTGTACAACAAAAAGTTGAATTACCATCTTTTATCTCCAATAAAAAATTTATAATATAGTTGCCTGAGATACGAAGTAACCCAGATTTTCATCCCATAGAAGAGTTGTTATAGAATAATTACCCATGTAATAAAAATATATTGTGTATCTCACAAAAACAAAAGCATAACATAGATAAAAAACAACCCACTTTCTTCAACATGGTGGGTTAATGGGTCTTGGATTTAGAATTTTGCTATATGATTTGTGGCCCAAGTGGGCAATCTAGAAGCATTGTACAACAAAAAGTTGAAATACCATCTTTTACCTCCAACAAAAAAATTATAATATGGTTGCCTAATATGCGAAATAATCCAAATTTTCATTTTATAGAGGAGCTGCTGTATAATAATAATCCATGTAATAAAAATATATTATGTATCTTACCAAAAAAAAACATAACATAGATCAAGCAGAACCCGCTTTCTCCAACATGATGGGTTAATGTGTCTTGGATTTAGAATTTTGCTATATGATTTTTGGATTATGATTGGGGAAAGACCCAAGTAGGTAGATAGTAAGATTGGGAAATCATTGGATCGGTTGAGATTAGATCGGTTTTTACCAACCAATCAAAAAATCGATTCAATCCAATTAATTTTTGCGCTTTTTTTGCGATTTTTGATTTTTCGATTTTCGGTTAATTTAGTTTTCTGTTTTTCGGTTGGGTCACCGCGGTTTGAATCGGTTGATGAACACCCATAGGTGTGAATCCGGGAGAGAAGATCGGAATAGAAGAAGAAGAACGATTCAAATTTTAGATCTAATTCTAAATCTAGGCAGCAACGAGTTTTTGTTTTGTTTTGATTTTTTATACATCAAACGACGTCATTTCGCGTATAATCTTTTTTTTTTTAAAATGCAGTGACCCCTCTAACCCGGGAGTCACGGCCTCATGAGTTCAACCAGAGGTTTCGCGGGTTAAAGGAGTCAATGTGCAAGTAGGATCTAACTATTAATCCGAACCCTTAGAGAAAAGGGGTCAGTGACCCGGAGATGTCAATCCCGGGTGGGGTTTTTTTAACACACTGATATCATCTTTAGAAAGAATTTAAATATCTTCATCTCTGATCCGCTCTGCACACCAAACTACTTATAGCTGGCTCAAAGAGTCAAATCTTGTAAGAATACCGGGAGAAGTCAACTCCCCTCAAAGAAATTTAGAATTGGATTAACTCTAAAAAAAGTAATAAAAGAACATAAATAAATTTTTTAATAATTTATATTATTTTCAAACAAATATGATATTTCTAAAACTAACCATGATACTTGTTGATGAAATCGAATAACTATATTTTTTAACTATTTATATATTTCATTTACAGCATGAAATTTCTTTAGACTTTTGTTGAATTATATTCTTTTTCGAATTACTAAAAAAGTTGACTTTCACAACGAATATTTAAAAGTTGATTCCTTTTAATATTTTGTTAATACATTTAGTGTAGAAAAAACGATTTCTAAGACAATAAATTCAATTTAAACTCTTTTTAAAACATCATTGCTTATAAAATTGTCAAATAGATTGAGTACTTATATTAGGTGGTACACTGCTGTCCCATGTCTCTTTTGGAATGAATTAATATCAGTGTTTAAAAATTTGATTCGGCCATCGACTTGACCCGAGGTTAGAATTTATGGGTTCAATCGAAGGGTCACAGAGTTATTTCACTAACCCGATTGTATACATTAAAAAATATAAATATATATCCTATATGAAAATTCAAAAAAATCAAACCACCAATTATCAAAGATTCAAAATATACATAACATAATTCAATCAATTATATCGCTAATCAAAGTATCAAACTATCAAACACATATTCCAATGGAGTTAATGAAAAGTTATATCATCAAATTCAAGCTCACATTATCCTTCTCATGCACCTACAAAAGCATGTGAAAGAAGATCCCTTACCTAAGAAAGAACGGCGAAGGAGAGGCAGCGGCGCAACAAATCAACGTTGGAGAAAGAAGAACCAACACGACGAAGGAGAGGGAGAGAGAAGACCGAATAAGATAGGAGAAACCACCAGCATGACAGAGTAGATCATCGAATCAGGTAGATTGGGTCTAGGTTTGGAAGAGAAAATCAGAAGAGAAGAAGAAGAACAATACAGATTTCAAATCTAGTTCTAGATATAGGCAGCAACGAGTTTTTTTTATGCACCAAATGAAGTATTTTCGTGTGTAAATTAAAAAAAAAATACAATGATCCCCTCTGACTCGAGAGTCACGGGTTCAACCGTAGGGTTTCAGAAGTCAACGTGCATGTAAAGTCTAACTTTAACCCTAACCCTCAAAGAGAGAGTCAGTGAGTCGGTGGGGCGTGGGGTCGATCCTGGAGTAGGGCGAGGTTTTAAAACAATAATTAATATATAGCTAGTATAACTCGGTCTAAAAGTAAATTGAAGGAGATAGAGTTTTGGTAAAATAAAAATTTCAAATCTGTAACTTAAGATAAACACCTATTTCTCTTGTATGTTTCTTCCAACAAAAAATAAAAGTAAATAAATAACAGAAGCGAATATAACTTTTAAAAGAAGAATTAAACATAATTTTAGCAAAATTTAAAAGGCGAATAAGCTGGAAAAAAAAAATGATCTAACAGCATGTATTCGTACCATCAAACATTGTTACATATGCGTCTTCAAATTGTTCCTTCGCAATTAATTTAAGGACACCATAAACTCGAACCGGTCATCAATTAGGTTAGAGGATTAGGTTAATGGGTCATCAATTAGGTTACAGGATTAGGTTAATGGCTCATCAATTTAATTAGTAGGTCACTGATTTAATTGCATAAATTACATATATATAAAAAAGAATTCATTTTTTCACCGATAATGTAAATAAGTTATCTACGTTGAGCCCTAAACAACGTTATTTTAGAGCAAAAATCAAGGTGTTTTTATAATTATAATTATAATTTATTTCAGGATTATAATAGTATTTCGTATTATAATTAGTCTTTTACATTATAATTTTTTAATTTTTCAATCCAAAACGACTTCATTTTGAGAGTGAATTGGATAATTTAACTACATTCACTATAGAAACATTAAAATCATAATAAAATAAAATAAATATAAAATTAGAAGCATTTTAGCTAATAATTAAGGGTTCGCTTTTTTTTTTTGCAGTTACTGCAGATAAGTTATCTGCAGTAAGCTCAAAACGACGTCGTTTTGGACGAAAATCATGGTATTTTTGTAATTTTAATTTATTTCAAGGTTATAACAGTCTTTATATTTATAATTTTTTAAGATTTCAATACTAAAACAACGTCGTTTTGAAAATAAATGCAGATAATTTATCTGCATTAATTGTAGAAACATTTTCCCCAATAATTAATGTGAGATTACGAATAAGTTCTATAAATTATAATTTACAAAAGATCGATTCAAATCTCATTAATAGTATTTTTCAGGCATTATGTCAAAAATTTCACAAAATTTGTGTCTATTTAATACCGGTTGAATCCTGATTCACTGATTTCATAATGAACCAAATACATATGAGTCTAATATCTAAACTAGACCGGTTAAGAATTTGATAGACGGTCCAATCGGTCGGGTTGGTCACATCGGTTTTTATAAGACTGAAAACGATAGTAATCGTACAATTAGATAATTATATTTTCTCTTTATGTATCGAGAATTTATTGGAAATACAATTGTTGTTATACTTACCATAATAAAATAAGCAATGAAGAAAAAGGGTTAGATCATGGTTGGTTTAGAATAGACTTTTCTCTTATTAAGAAAAGAAAATATTAAATAAAATTAAAAATTTCTTGGTCATTTATTTTTTTTATTCCTTAATAAATATGTTAAATAACAGAATCTGTCACAACTTGATGTTGGGGCCCAGGGTTTTCTAGGTAGGGAAACGCGGCAAATGAAATTCGCGTAAAGTCGAAGGGCGAAATCCGTCATTTCAAAAAAACCTGCAACTCTTATTTTTGGAGCGAGCGAGAGAGAGAGAGAGAGAGAGAGGACGAGAGAAAAAAAAATAGAATGGTGCACCGCCACCGCTTAATCCGTTCAAATAATGGTTGACGAAGATCCTAACCCTATTGTTCTTCTTTCGATTCTTCTTCTTCAATAATCGCTTCATTCGCATTGTTCGTTGCAATCTCGGATTGCAGTTTTAAGTTACTTCATTCATTCCTTTCGTCCTTTGTTGTCGGCATCATAAATGTCGGGAACATTTGATTTGCGTTTTGGCAATGCGTGGAAGTTAGTGTTGATAGCATGCGCGTGAACGTGTTTTTTTTTTTTTGAATGGAATCATTCAATCTCAACTTGCAAGGTGTTGGAATGATGGGTGAGGTTGGGAAGATACTATATATAGTGGTTGTCGACGAGGCTGAGAAGAAAGACAAAGACAAAGAAAAAGGCAAAGAGTCATTTCGATATACGCGTCCTGTTCTACAGAGTACTCTTCAGCTTATGGGATGCAAAGCGCGACATGCCGTCAAGGTGTTCTTTTTTTTTTTAATTTTTTTAATTCTATAATTTGTTTTTTCTTTTATTCGTTTCATTTCGATTGATTCTGAAAACTGTTGGTGTTGCTGTCTTTTTAATTTTTTTTCCCTCCTTATATTTTTGGGTTTATTGTGTTTTGATGATCTGGGATTTACTTGTCTGCAATCGAGTGTATTTTAGGTGTTTGATTTATTTTTCAGGTTCTGGATTTGAGGTACTTAACTGGAATTTTTGATTGATATTTTGATTGTTTAGCACTCCTTTTTTTTTTTTTTTTTGTCTTTATTGAATAGTTTGACCTGTTTATTGTTCTGCTTTGCCATTTCACTTTTTGCTGGGCCACTATTTCGTTAACGTTCTGGTGCTGGGTCATCATTTTGGTTTTTTTTTTTTTTATTTTGACTTGGTTTTCATTGGCTTTTAATGCGCCCCTTCAATGATTCAACGGCGTATAAAAAATTACAAAGGATTTAGCATGCGTGTAAAATTCAACTTTTTTTTTTCTTTTTAATTTAATTGTGTTTTAGGGAAAGATGATGCATTTAAAGTGGACTATTGTACTTGATATGAGTTTACGTTGTCAAGTTTTTCCTGGGGTGAAAATACTGATTTTTCTTTTTTCCTCCTTAATAATCTTAATTCACTTTAATGGGATAATAGATCGTAGTGGGTTGTCTTTATTTAGTTATTAGGCGAAATTTATGTTGCTTGGAAAGTCTTTGTTCCTTGCTAAGAACTTATAAGCTAGTATGAAGCATGGATAAGACACTAGACATAGATACGGACATGGACATTTAGATTTGGCTACTTTTAGAAATTATAGGATCCGACATTGTTAGGGTACAACGACATATAAAATCAAGAAAATAGTTATTAATGAAATAGAAATAGTATTACTTATATACTAATTAGTGTGGTACCGCACCAGTGTTGGAACAAATATTCAAAAAATTATAGGATGCAGGTTAGAGGTATTTGGTAGTGTCCAAGGAGTATCCGACATGGATATGTGTTTGGCACCAATACGGTAGTCATTTTGAAGTGTTCATGCTTCAAAGGAAAATTTCATATATGATTGTTTTTTTGGTATTTAGTTCATGGCGTCTGTTGATTGACTTTTACTGAGTAATGTCTTATGGGCAGAGTAAGTTGCTTCATATTAGACACCCTTTGACTGAGAGTTACACCTCATAGTAAGCATAACTCTGGAATTTTTGTACAACGTTATTCTGAATATGTTTTCCATTTTCCTCTTATCAGATCAGCCGAAGAGTTTTTGAACGCACAAGAAGCGAGAGTTCTAATGATAATTTGCAGCCTGATGTTGTGGGTTTATCAGGTCCTGATGTTCCCAAGGGAAATTTTGTGAAGAAAGATGGTCATTATGCTGGTGTTTACATGGGTAAAGCAGACTTAGGCAACCAATTACTTTTGGGGAAAGATTATAGAAGGAAGAGTGTACCATTTGAGTTATACAAAAGGCGAACAACTGCTTTCCTTATGAGAGAAACTTTTCTAGATATTGTCTGTGATGCTCTGGCTGAGTACAAGTATGTGGGTCCCAACCAGAGAGCAGACTTGGTTCTAGCCTGCAGGTACCACATTGTTTTATACCTCTACAGTAGTAACCTGAATAGATGAGAGGAAAAAACAATTCTGACTGTGGTTGCAGCATATGCTTTGATGTAATGGAATCTATTAAGTTACATAAATAGATATGGTCTACCAAGGTTTCCATTTTCATAATCAAGATTTTCTAGTCATGTTATGTTAGTATGGTGCACTTATAGAAACTGGATCACATTAATTTGATTCGGCATTTTTCTTTGGGTGTTATATGAATTTTGAAAATGTCTATAATTATCAATAAATAAATAAAAATTGTGATTTACTGATTTCATGGACTTCTATTCTATCTTATGTCTTGTGCATTGTCTTAAAGGTCTCTGAATCATTTATCTTTTGTGGCTTTATATTTGTTTCCTTTGTCAATACGTGCAGACGCTATTCAAGACTAGAAAATTATGATAACTTGGGTTATTGTCCTTTTTTTGCCCATTATTTCAAAGTAAATTGTGCATATGACCTGGTTCAATTAAGATGCTTGAATTTACAGTTCTATCAGTATCATCAAACTCTAGTTTGTTTTTAATATCTGTCTGAGATGAGCTACATTTATTTTCTAGCACTGAACATGTGAATTATATATAAAGAGAGTAATCATCATCATTGTTCTAGGCTTATGGAAGTCCAAGATATGCTGTTGCATTTTTTAGTTTGCCTCCAAAATATGCTCTGCCTTACATCTTCTCTAAATTGCTGCTGCACTCTCTGAATTTCACATAATTTTTTGGTTTATGAGGAATCTGAGTATATTTTCCATAAACTTAACGAATGGAGAATGCTAGACCTCTCAGTTTTCAAAATGATTTGAATACTGATTTGGTTCTAGTCACTGGGTTAAAACAATACCACTTCAATTTCTAGTATTTGTTCTAGTAAATATTGTCTTCTTTCACTTCTGATTCTATTTCCATGTCGAAAGTCCCTTCATAGTTGTTTTGGAAGAGTTTGAGTGAAATTACTGAGCTTTCATATGAAGTGCAACATACAGCATACAGCATATTGATATGTAATACCTGTAAAACTCTAAAATTTTACTTAAATTTTATACTTATGATGAGGAGTTTATTTTTTAAAATGTGGTAAAACCTACTCTCATATGTCTCTGATTATTTTCCTTGGTTACAGGATCCGTGAACGGAAGGAGTCTGTGACAGTGCTGTTGTGCGGCACTAGTGGCTGTGGCAAATCCACATTGTCTGCTTTACTGGTATTTTTACATAGAAAATAGTTGTTTGTTTACGTAGTTCTAGTTTTTACTTATTTTGTGGTAGGATATGTATGTAAGTAATGAAATTGAAACTGAGTACTATTTATACTTACAGTTCAATAACTCGAATACCATATATATCTTCACTTCAGGGTAGCAGGTTGGGAATCACGACAGTGGTATCAACTGATTCTATTAGGCACATGATGAGAAGTTTTGCTGATGAGAAGGAAAACCCCTTGTTGTGGGCTTCTACCTACCATGCAGGCGAGTGTTTGGATCCCGTTGCTGTTGCAGAAGCAAAAGCCAGAAGAAAAGCAAAAAAGCTGGCTGGTGTGTCACGTTCACTTTCCAAGGATGATGTAACTGAGGGTCACAATTCTAACAAACCTGATTTACCGTCATCGGAGACGGGCTCTGGTACTACTGAACTTCTGAGTCCTAAACAAATGGCTATTGAAGGATTTAAGGCACAGAGTGAGATGGTGATTGACAGTCTTGATAGGCTAATCACTGCCTGGGAAGAGCGAAAAGAGTCCGTTGTTGTTGAGGGTGTTCACTTGAGCCTCAACTTTGTGGTACGTCAAATTTTCATTATTGTGTTCTTCATTATTTCTTTTCTTATGGATGTCAATTTATGCTATGATATTTTTCTCATTAGCTTGCAATAAAAGCTTGAGTACTTATGCAGATGGGGCTCATGAAGAAACATCCGTCAATCATACCATTCATGATATACATTACAAATGAGGACAAGCATTTGGAAAGATTTGCTGTACGTGCAAAGTATATGACACTGGACCCAGCTAAAAACAAATACGTAAAGTATATCCGAAACATCAGAACAATCCAGGATTATCTCTGTAAGCGTGCTGAAAAGCATTTAGTCCCCAAAATAAACAACACCAATGTTGACAAGAGTGTAGCAGCCATCCATGCAACTGTCTTCAGCTGCCTTCGAAGGCGTGAAGTTGGGGAACAACTATACGATCCTATTAGAAATACTGTAACAGTTGTTTATGAGGAATATAGAAATCAATGTGCAGCAAATTCTTTGAGCTCAAAAGGAATGTTTCAATTGATCCAGAGAAAAGGTTCTTCAAGGAATCTGATGGCTCTTGTTAATACTGATGGATCTGTTGCAAAGGCTTGGCCTGTTAATTTAGTTGACAGTAATGGGAAGCCTATATGTGGCCATGGACAAGAGAATGGAATTGGACATCCAATGTATGGTCCCTTACGGATTGGTAAGTCAGAACCTGTAAATCTTCAGTTTGGTTTTTATGGGATCAGTGCTTGGCCTAGTGATGGTGGCACTAGTCGTGCTGGAAGTGTTGATGAGTCTAGAGCTGATGGAACTGATACCGGTAGTAGATATGTATCCTCTTGCTGTAGCTCACCAAGGTTATCGGATTGCCCTGCGAAGGAGGTAAATTTTAATATTTTGGCAAATTTATCTCTCTGTTCAACACAAAAATTATCGGCTTGTTAATGTCAATGGGAAAATATTGTATAACAAAAAAATAGTCTGTGATTTTTAACTTTTTTTGTCAATTTTGTATATTTTTTAGCTCAAGGAAGACTTCTCCGTGCATGGTAGTGATGAAGAGATTGACGATCACCCAGAGGTGGGCAGTGATGAGGATTTCAGTGATGATAATGACAAACATGTCCACGACGAGGTATAGACTTATATTTTGTTGAGATATATAAAACCGTTAATGTATCCTCACTCAACAGCTTAAGCTTTTGGATTGAATTGGTTCTTTAGATATTTTTTATGTTAGTCAAATACTTTAACTATCTGAAATGTATATGTAATGAAATTTGCCCCAGAGAAGAGTTTCAAGTCTTTTGTGTTGCCATTGGTTTTGCCCTTGCTAGCAATGGCAATGGTTGACGATGTTTGTGTTTTATCACTTGGAAATGAATTGATGCTGTATATAACTATTTTTGGGCCATTTTTAATCTTATTGATTGCTGTGTAGGTAGGATCAGTTGATGAGGAATCAACAAAGTCTGATGAAGAGTACGAAGATCTTGCAATGCAAGATGTGATGGAAAATGGGTATTGGTCAGATGATGATGATGATGGGTTAAAGAGCAAGCCTGGTGGTGTTGCCGGTGAGCAAGGAACTAAAATGCATGGGAATAAGTATCGTAGAAACCTGGATATATTCCTTAGAACTAGAAGTGAGCCATTGCCAGTGGCAGGGGCAGGGGCAGTTCCAGAGCCCATGTGCTCTTATTCTTCTTTGCTTGCTGAAAAGACCGAGAAGAAACTAGCATCAACCGGCAAAGCCAAATTTAGAAAACGTTCTCTAAGTATTCCCGCTTTGGGAAAACAGAGTTCAGCAATCAATGACCCCATCCTTTCTGGTGCTCCTCAAAGGTAGCAACCACATTGCTCTTTTATCGTTAAGTCTTAACAACCAACCAGCATTCTTTTTTTGGGCTTCTGATTTACATTATCTTACGATGTCTCATGTGTATATATAGTACAGCTTCCAAAACTTTCATCATCTAATATTTGCTTCATTGCTTGATCTGAGGCCTGATTTTGATGAAAACGTGCAAACAAACTCGATCTAGTAATGTTTTACAACATTTTTCTGAGGATGTATATATATGGAATCCGCGGAATCAATCGTGTCTGCTCTAACTTATTATTCCACAACGCCTCTTTTTTTGTTCAAATAGATGAAATGAAAGCACTCCAAAGAAAAAAAAGTCCCGGAATTAAAATTTAGTTGAGTAAAAAAAATTGATAATAACTTATAATTAATAAAAATTTAACAATCAAAATCTTACTTAAATCATACATAGTAAAACAATTTTATTTTATATTAATTGTGTATTAAAGTTAAACTATAAAAAGAAAACCTCTAACATAAGAACATATAATTTGGCCCAGAGGTTATTTAAGTTATTTTTTCACGGCAGCATAATTTATTGAATTGAAAGGAACCACATTATAAAAAACTAAATCACGAGTCTCAAATGTTGTAGAAAGGCCGGAAATTTTGCGGAATGTTTGTGCAATCATATTCTATCACCTTTTCCCTTCGTCAAAGCCTCTGTTACTGTTATAATATAATCACTTATAAGAACAATATATCATGAAGTAAATACATAATTTGATGTTTAAAAGATGTGTTATTTGCGTTAATTTTGTTTTGACCCATAGTGGGTGAGCCTTATCCCACGCAAGTGAAGCATTGGTTGTGATGATTCTTCCACGGTGTGAGTTTGTGTAGCATTCTTTGATGGGTTAAACACTTCTCATCTTGTATGAGAAGTGTTTTCTTATCTTATATATTATATGAGAAGTGTTTTTTTATGTTACGACTCAATTAGTGATGAGCTTCATACTTATTAAAAAAAACATTTTGTACACAAATGGAAAGATCATGATATTAAAAATGAGAAATGTTTTTCCCTTCTTTGGTTCAATTAATGAGTTATTTTCTGATTAAATTAAATTTATATAGTAAATATAATAATGAAAGCATTACAACCGATAAATGATATTGACTTAGTGATAAAGGGAGAATTGTCTACAGCACAAAATCTTAGGTTTGATCCCTAACAATAACATTGTAACCTTTTAAAAAATGTTAAACCTGATTTACAGATGGTTACTGGACCGGATCCATTGGTGTCTTTGTTCCCTGTAGTCTGTCCGGTGTAAGACCTTTTGTTGGGCCGATTCGTAGTCCAGAACTAGAATATTTTTTATAATTTCAAATTAATCTTAGAATGAATATATTTATGAACAATTTATAATGTTGAGTACAAATTTGTAAAATTAAAAATTTTAAATCCAAACAATACACTAGATTACATATTTACTTCATATTATATGATAACTTTAGGAGGTGTTTGTTCAACGGATTTTTTTTGGTTATCCGGGAAAATAAATTTGGAAAAAGTTATATGCCATGTTTGGTATAAAAAAAAAGGCAAGTTTCCTGTATAAAAATGTTCCCCGTTCTTTGGTTTTGTATGCAAAGTTAGGTACGGCAACGGCAATCTTTTGCCCATTGAATGTGTGGAATATTTTTTAGCCTGAGAATGTGAAAAGCAAAAGCCAATGAGATGACCAAAATAACATTGTCTGAATGTACAATGTGTGAAGATATGGAGTTGGGTGAAGTGATATAGTGGTAAAGTAACTTTACTTTCCCACTAATATTTAACAATCAACCAAACACACACTAGTAAATTTAATCATAAAATCCATTTGTTATGAGGTGGAAAAGGTACAACGTCAGTTTATTTGGAATGGATTTGATCAAAAAAGAGAGAATGCTTTGATCGGGTGGAGTACTTTAGTGCAATCAAAGAATAAGGGAGGTCTTGAGTTAAATGTCTTGATCTCATGAACGATACTTTTTTGGGTAAGCTAGCTTGGCTTATAAAAACAGATCATGATGCGCTTTGGGTGCGGGTTCTAAAAGCTAAATACAATGGTAGAAGAAATCAGCTGGATATGTTTACCAGTAGAACCGGCGATTCGCTCCTTTGGAGGAGTATTTGTAAGGTGTGGTTGGATTTAAAAGAATATGTCGTATGGGAACTTGGTGATGGAACTTCAGTCAACTTTTGGACAGATCCCTGGATTCCTAATGTGGGTCCCTTAGTAAATGTTTGCATGAAGGAGCTTAGTGGGCATGATCTAGCTAAGAAAGCTTATGAAGTTCTTGATATAAATGGCTGCTGGGATGTGAATATGCTACAATCTTGTCTGCCGCATAACATCTTAGAGATAGTGACTGGTTTCCTCCCTCCTGCAGTAAATGACGGATCAGACGTAGAAAGATGGAGTATTGGTGGTCATGGTTCCATAACAGTTAAGGATGCCTATCAGGTACTTTTACAGAAACGTTTTCCCATTGTAAATCAAATTATTCCAGATCATGTGTGGAATGCCCTTTGGCATTGGAAGGGTCCAGAGAGGGTGAAGATTTTCATGTGAAAATGTCTGCATCGTAGACTGCCAACTAGTGCTTGGGCTGCTAAGTGGTCAGACGCGAATCCAGTTTGTTCTCGTTGTCTTAGCGCATATGAGACGGAGTTTCATGTATTGAGAGACTGTGTGGTGGCAAAAACAGTGTGGGATAAATTGCTTTTGTCCAGGAGACAAGCGTCTTTCTATGATTTGGATTAGGTGGATTGGGTGTCTTCCAACATATGTAATGACAGGTTAGGACCCATAAGTCTGAATTGGGTTACTATATTTCTTTTAACTTGTTGGGAGCTGTGGAATGATAGAAATGCTGTTTATCATGGGAAGGAAGGATCTACTGATTCTCTTATTGTGCGTAAAGTGCAATGCATGGCTATGGATATCGAGCGAGCTTTTGGTGATAAAGGTATCACGAAGAAGGCATGAATGTTATCTCAGATACATATTGCATGGCAGCCACCAGATCATGGATGGATAAAATTAAACACAGATGGTGCAACCAAAGGTTCTCCAGGAGTAGCTGCATGCGGAGGATTATGTAGAGGATCTGATGGCCAATGGCTAGGGGGTTTTGCTTATCATGTGGGTATTGCTTCATCTTTTACAGCAGAATTATGGGGTATTTTGAAAGGTTTGGAATTTGCTTGGAATAAAGGGTTCGAAAACTTATTATTGAGAGTGACTCCACTTCGGTGATCACGCTGCTTACCAGTAAAGGTAATGATGTCCGAGAGTCGCATATTGTTACTCGCATTCGGACTTGGATGAACAAAGATTGGGATCTCAAGGCTCAACACATCCATCGTGAAGGAAATCAATGTGCTGATTGGCTTGCCAACCATTGGATTTACCCCAGCCAGAACTCTATCTATAAGGAGTTTAGTCATGTCCCTCCTGGACTTAGCTGTTTATTTTTTGCTGATATTTGTTCTGTTACTAGTACTAGGAACGTTTATATTGTCTAGTGGTTTCTTGGGCTGTTAAGCCCTTTCTTTCACCAAAAAAAAAATTTTTAATCATAAAATCCCTAGGAAAATTTGATCATACCAAACATTTTTTACTAACATTTCCGTAGAAATATATTTTCCCCTACATTCTAGTAATAATTATTCTCGGATAAACAAACATTTCTCTTCTACCAAACATCCCCTTAATTATGTGACCAGTGGAGGAAATTTGTAATAGATCTTTTTAATTATGGGGTCATACTTATTGTGTCCAACGGTTGTAACCTCTAAAATTCACTAGTGTGTCTAGTAATATAACCTCTAAAATGGGGGGAGGTTATACTTACTATCTCTTACTAAATCTTAACCGTTGATTTCCGCCAATCTAACAGTTGTAATTTATGGGGTCATACTTATTAATTAATTATTAATTTCAAATAAATTATAACCGTTAGATTGACGGAAATCAACGGTTAAGATTTAGTAGTAAGAGGTAGTAAAAAAGTAGGTAGTAAGTATAACTTTTTTCGTTTATAATTTTTTAATATAAATTATAGATTTACATATACTTACTGGGTCATGCGGTTGAACTAGTGACCCAGTACCTCGACCGAGTCAATAACCGAATCTGGTTTAATAATATTGCTTTTTAAATTAAGGGTTAAAAGTTTGTCTTTATAAAGGATGTAACTTATATATCCTTTTAGCAATTTATAACTATGTACTAAGGGTGGTAGTATATAGTTATAATATTAAAGTTGTACTTTTTTTTTCTCTTCGAACACTGTTTGCTTCCGTAGAAAATGGAAAAAATATAATTTTAATATTATAACTATGTAATACTTTTAGTATATAATTATAAATTGCTAAAATAACATAAATTACATCTTTTAAAATGATAAATCATTTCCCCATAAATTAAATACTTAGGGGGTGTTTGGTATGAGTATTTGGTATGAAATGATGAGAAAGTGGAATGAGAAATATTTATTTACCATGTTTGGTATGGGTATTGTGAACAAAATGCAAGAAAATTTTTACCCAGTATTTTCCTTTTGAACTACACAAAGGCAAATTTTGTTCCCTCTTAACCTTTGGTATTTTTTTTCTTTGATCTTGGATTCTCAAAAAGTTACATTTGATTCACTTTTTCCCAAAAAAAAGCAACATTTGATGATGACTCACTTGGCATATTCAAAAATTAAGGGTATTTTGATAATTTCATTCACATTTCCATCAATATTTTACCATCAACCAAACATAGCATCAGGAAAATTAACCCAACTTTTTCTATTAAATTTTGGCCCACCAAATACTTTTTTGTAATTTACCCAGGATAAAAAATTCCTATTAAATTCCTAACAATCTTTTTTTTCTCGATAAAAAAAGATATTTCTCGTACCAAATCCACCATAAGTATAAAGTTTAATTAGCCAACATAAGTAGTCGTGTTTTATAATAGGATTGAGGTATCAACAAAAAATAAAAAAAAAATATTTTGTTAATGAGCATCTTAAATATGTACACAGAGAGCACTTGCTCCCAAAATTTGGATCTTGATTGGTCTCGCGCAGAGGATGAAAAGCCAAGTCGCTCCATTAATACAACAATTAGGTTCAGATTGTCTTACAAGCGACAACTCCGAGGCTGTTATTGTTGCGAACTTAGCGTTACAGGCTTACAGCCGTTACTCCATTCTATCTTCTTCTTCTTCTAATTTTTTTACGTTAATTTGATAGATATGGACCATATGGTTTCAGATCCGAAAATGTACATTGATAAGCATTTATGTGCTTATTTCATTAACTTTCAGAACATGAATGCCGCGCTGAATTTCACATTTTAGTAAATTCTATATAATCGCATAGAATCAATAGATTTTTTAAAGTTTATGATACAATTTTAAAAATAAAATAACTAATAATCGATTATGGAAATAATTAACGGTTTATTAGCATGTTTGGTAGAAAAAAAATTTAAAACATTATTTTTCTTCTAAAGAAAAAGAAAAAACTAATTAATTTTTTTTTACCTTAAAATAAACTATTCCATACACAAGAACAAATTTTCATTACTAGTGAATTCTTACTAATAATTATCACTCGTACTATATCTGACGTAGTTTAATTATTTTGTAGAAATCTAAACCCCGAATCAACTGTGATTTCAAACCTTAACACCTTTGTCCATCAATTTCATCACAAAATGGTGTCATATGCTTGGATATATCTGGGGTGTAAATAGATTAGGTTAGGCTAGACTTTGAGTTAAATAGGTCAGGTTTGTGCAAAAAACATTGTGTCTGGCCTAGTCTGTTAGCATATGTAGGCCTCAAATTACAAGCCTGACATGACCTATATTTAAAAAGTTAAAGTCTTGGCCTAGGCCTCTTAGCCTGTTTAAGCCTATTAAACATTCAACAATTAAAATAAAATTAAAATGATATTACTTTATTATTCAAAATTGGGTCAGGATTATTTTACACCAGTGTAAGTTACACTCGCAATCTTGTCCATTGATCCCATTTATATCTAAAGGATCTAATTTTTAGTAATGTGAGCCATTAGATACAAGTGGATCAATGATCAAGATTGAGTGTAAGACTTCTAACTCTTACACTAGTGTAAGAATATCCTATCCATTCAAAATTATTAAAATAATAATTTTATTTATTTAATTTAAAATAAATAATATAATATAGGCCGACCTGTAGGCTTATAGGCCCGACATTTAAAAAAAATTTATGACCTGTTTTCTAAATTGGTATTTTTAAAAGCATAGGCCTATTCTATTTTACTATTTGTTTTACTCTAATTGTTTATTTTAAAATAAATAATATAATGTAGGCCCCTGTAGGCCGGCCTAACCCATTTACACCCTTAGATATACCGCATCTGGTAGATATTATAATCACACAACTTCTGCTAGATATTTGTTATACTCTAATTGTTTAATTGTCTTAAAATTTTTAATAAGCTGATTGTTTGAGATTTCAGAATAATATTTATTCTGAAATAAAATAGTATTTAAGATAATTGAAGATTGCATGAAGATTGGAGAAGATATGAAAGATATCATTAATAGAGAGAAAAACATGAAATCAAGTAAAATTTATGATATATTTTATCTTTTTAAATTTCATATAAGTGAAATAAAATATTTTTTGTCAAAGATTTTGATTAGTATTGCATTGTGTAATAGAATAAGATATTTAGTGCTTTACATATTTTTATTTGAAAAAACCAGACATCTTATTTTGAAAATTGCATTTAAAATTTCGTATAAGGGTAAAAGATTTTTGGTTAGTTTTGGAAAAAAATTTAAAAATTAATTTTGAAAAAGTTGATGGGAAAAGTTTGCGTTTCAACCCGAGGTTGGCATTCTCAACGCCAGCAGGAGAGAGAAAGTGTTATTATTATAAATATGGCTCATTGTACATTATTTATGTGTGTGTAAAGAAAATACAAGAGAGAAGAGAGAAAATTAGATTTTCAAAATTAGAATTCTTTCTTATGCATTAATTGAAAAGTTTTCTTAAGAACAATCATCCATACATTCATCTTTTGGCAAAATGAATATTTCTCCATAATAATTCAGATTACCTATATGCTTGAGGAGAACAAAATTGAGATAAATCATTTTAATTGTAAATTTCTTCTTAACCTTTTTGAAGGTCTGTATTTGGAAACTTGTGTGAAACTGGGATACTAACATATCTCTTTTCTTTGAAAATTGAGAATAACAACCCTTGTGTGATAGGGTTTGGGAACCCTAAAAGGTTAGGATTTCCTACTGGAAAACTATAATAACATGTGGGAATTTGTGTAAGGGATAAATTAGAAAACTAGAATATTAAAGAACTCCTTATACGCAAGTTTTATAGTGGAGTTGCCCATCGAATTTCAGTATTCGATATTAGGGCCTGTGATTTTTATCCCTTTTTTTTGAAATTTTCACGTAAAAACTACTGTGTCAATATCTCTCTATTTTTATCTTAATTTGTTGCTTTGAGTTAAATTTTAATTAAAAAATTATTTTATAAAACTCAATTAACCCTCTTGAATTCATCAGGCACCAACAACTTCAACAATATTCATATCGTATGTTTGTTTTTTACCAGATGCAAATATGCAAATTAATGAGCATTGAGCAACCTCATATATTAGTGAAAAGAAAATAATATAATAAGAACAAAAGTGTGAAATCTCTTATCATATATCTATTTGGACAAAATGTGACTGTCTTAATCTAATCACCAGTCACAGTTTCAATGACAGATTCCCAACACATGTCAAAAAGCAATTTCTTTGATTTCTTCCCTCTATGATCAATTCACAGTTTTACTTCCCTCATGAAAAGTTTGAATCGAGCAAAATCTGGCCAAATATATATCTCTGTACTGGGAGTTACAGCATATCATTAAGGCAGAAAATAGCAATGCGTTTCTCCCCGCCTCCAATCTGAATTAGTCAGTGGCTTCAATCCAAATTAGTAGGCGTACATTTGATCATCGGATACCGAATAATTTATTAAAAAAAAATTAGTAAAAACAGAAGGAGAATCCTTTACATAAAAGTTATATGTGGAAATCAACGTGTTTCACCATTCGTTGGACAGATATAATACAAAAATCACTGATGAGTCTTTACTTACAAGTTGAAATTGCATGTTGAGTTGAAGTGATTGCTTATATGGTCGGTGACCACGAGCTGGTTATAAGTTTGATCATTACATTCTATCATTTTTTTAGTGGAATTAATTCAGCACAAAATAGAATAAAAAAATAAATTTGTGTAATATTCACGCTCTCAAATAACTCTTGCGTGAGAGGGTGTGTTGAAAAAATATAATATAAAATCATTAAATACTCATTCCGTACAAACTTAAAATGTTGAATTAAATTGGTTGCTTCATATGATCAAAGAATTGAATTGATTCTTTACATTACCCCAACGTCCCAACATGACACGATGTGGGAATCTCATCAGAATATGTTGTACATAGTGGCATGTGATTATGTACATTTTGACTCAGAAGGTAAAAGTTACCTAGATGTGCAGTGAAAAATTGGAAACAGGAAAATTATGATATTTTACATCTTAATTATGAAAATTACCACACAAGATAGTTTTTGAACAAACGCTACTTACAAAAACTAATATTTGAATATATATTATGGGATATCAATAAAGAAAGATTTTTTCAAGATTATAAGCACATAAACCCAATAGTTGTATTGAGTCGACAAACTATGTGCAGAAAAATTAATAGAAAGAAATTAAACCATATAACTAACTAAAAAGTAAAGTTATTCATCCACAAAATTATGTAATTAATTAGTATATAGTGAGTTTAGTATATATGATACATCCTTCTGGAAAAAGAAGTATTAAGTTTTTGCTTATACTTAATTAGGGTTTCCTACGAGCAAATGCTCTCATAATCAAGTCCAGTTTTCAACACAACATTATATAAGTTAACACCATGAGGCCATTAAATTAATGAGCATATATGAGTTTATATATCATATTAATAGGCAGGGAAACCAAGAAATTTCATCAAATGCATACATCAGCAACATAAAAAGCAAATAATCGTTCACCAAAAAAAAAAAAAAAAAAAAGCAAATGATCCATCAACAAAATACGGATTGTGGACCGTTAAAACTATTACTATTTCCTACTACTAATTAGAATAAGATATGTATATATAGATATGGATGTACAAAGGTAGCAGTAAATAAGACAATGTCATATATCTTATACATGATTACTTCTGTTAACAGAAGTAATAAGGCAAACACATCCTCTGAAAATTGAAGTTAAGAAAATTCATGAAAAAAAAGGAAAGAGAAAATATATCCTTCAAAAAATAGTTCTATTGGCCAGAACAAATTAAAATGAATGCGCCATGACATGTGTATGATATTAATTTTTTTTTAAGCTATTGCTTGAATCCTATTCTTTTCTATTATTATTATTATTGTTCTTGTTTTCATTACGGCAATCACACAGTCTCAATCAGTTATTAAGTAGAGTAATTAAATAGATAGAGCATGGACTATATTTATCGAATGTAAATGAAGACATAAATTAGTTAATGCAGCTTATAGAGATGCAATGAAATGGCTGTTGAATAATTGCACAAGCGAGGAAGAAGTGTATATTCCAATATGTAATAAGTACTTACGAAAGATCTATGTGAATCAGAATTAAGCTAAAGGTAGAGGTCGACTCCCCAAATTAGAAGAGACTATTATTCTCTTAAATGATCTCCTGCAAACAAAGATTAAGTTGGTTACTCCTTGAAATTAATTAGCATGTACTAATTAAGTGCATTATCTGCCACACTCACTTTCAATAGAAATATAGGCAAAGATTAAAGGTTAGAAATAGATTTGGATCGTACAAAACTCAAAACCAACTATTATAGAACTCATTATTATTTGTGTAGGGTTTATATTGCACTTGCTTTAATTTATATATTTCTCTCTCATAATATTAGAGGGAACATAAGAGAATCCAAATTAAATTAGAAACTTGTGCATTTGTACTAATTAGCAGCATCACACAACTAGCTAGGTATATATAAATGCAACAGGAGAACCAAATGCTCAAGAGACACACTACCCTCGTCAACTTCCTAGATAACAAGTCCACGCAAATTATGTCGCTTTAGCAATGAAGAGAGAGAACATGAAGAGCAGTGGACCTAATACATGTATTGTTCACAGCCTTCTTTACAAGGTACAAAGAAGTAGGGCAAGCTTAAATTTTGGGCACAGAGGGCGTACATAGCCCTCTTAAATCAGCGAGTATATATGTCAAGAGTTGGACAGTGGGCACAGAGGGCGTACATAGCCCTCTTAATGATGAAGCAGCGAGTATATATGTGAACCAAGAGTTGGACAGTGATGGGGGCTCACAGATTTCCATATATATGATACGATCTTGAATATACTGAATCATCACTATCATGAATTAATAATGAAGAAGATATATATATATATATATATATATATATATATATATATATATATATATATCTCTGTGTGTGTGTTGTGTCTTATGATCATTTTACACAGTATAACAGTAGTTATACTCTATATATTGACCGTTGATCTTATTTATATTTAATAGCTCTAATTTATTAGACATGTGAACCGTTAGATGCAAGCATATCAATGACCAAGATTTGGTGTAAGATTTCTTATTTTTACACAATAACGTGCCCTATGTATGTAGAGGAAGATTATACTTACAACCTATTTTCGTTTACAACTATATCTTAACCGTTGATTTCTGCCAATCAACGGTTATGATTTATTATGAATTGATAATTAATTTATGAGTTTGATTTGTGAAAATAAAAACCGTTGACTGACGGAAATCAACGGTTAAAATATGGTTGTAAACGAAAATATGTTATAAAAATATGTTATAAATATAATCTTCCTCTCATACACACATATATATGGGGAATGATCCGTTTATAAACTTTTTGTTACAAAATTTTGCAAATTAATTACACTATGTACTTCCGAAAGTACATAGTGTAACCTAATATACTTCCAGAAGTATATAGTGTAGTTTGTAAAAAAATAATTTGTAAATATAACCCTCCTATATATATATATATATATATATATAATTTGTATATATATATATATATATATATATATATATATATATAGGGAAATGCATAGTTGTTATGTTAACAAAAAGACAAAGTAAATTCATTGAATAATGTGTCCTCTCACTTTTTTAATATTATATAATTTGTCTTTTTCTTAACATAAGAGCTATTCATTTGTCATGTAACATGACAAATGCATTTCCCATACATATATATATATATATAGGTAGGATCCTTTGACACCAGTGTTAACTTTGAAGTTTGACACCTCATCTGAGAGCTGTTAGATCAAAAAATATGAATAGTGTCACATGCTTACAAATCAGAGTCGTTGATACATACATACATACATATATATATATATATATATATATATATATGAGGTAGGATCTTTTTATACCGTTATCAAATTTGAAGTTTGACACCTCATCTGAGAGGTGTTAGATCAAAAAAGTTCAACGACTCTGATTTGTAAACATGACACCATTCATTTTTTTTGATTTAACGGTTCTCTCATATAAGGTATCAAACTTCAAATTATACACACACACATATATATATATATATATATAGGGGCAGGATATTCTTACACCGGTGTAAGAGTTAGAAGTCTTACACTCAATCTTGACCATTGATCCACTTGTATCCAATGACTCACATTACTAAAAAATTAGAACCCTTAGATATAAGTGGGATCAATGGACAAGATTGAGAGTGTAACTTACACTGGTGTAAAATGATCCTAACCCATATATATATATATATATAACAAAAAAGCAAAAGATCTACTATTTAAGTTTGAGCATCATTACAACAGAGATAGGTAAATATGGACTAAAATATCTCTGCCATTGAGATAGAGAGTACCTTCAATTAAGGGTCCAACTTGCAAGACGTTTGTTGGTCCAAAACCCAGAGTAACTGATGATTATTACTGTATATGCTAAAGCCAAATCCTCGACCATAGAACCAGGACATTAATGTCCATTATTATGTCCTAGTTTTGTACATCCAAGTTCCCAAGCCTGCTTCAATTTTCAATAATCTGCTTATATTATCCTCTATATTAAACATATTTAATTCCTGTTTATATAATATTAATATGTAGTAACAAGGACAAAGCTTGTGGGAACGGGAACCAAAACTCCCTGAAAAATGTTTAGCTAGTAGAATCAGAATCACAAGGTGACAATCAACTTATCCTTCCACTCTTGTTTTCACTTACTCTTTAACTAAAGGGACCAAACTATAGGCTCTGATGAAGTTTCTTAGAGATCAGTAAATCATCAAGTAAAAAATTATTTAACTTTGCTATAGCAATATTATAGATATGAAACTTATGTAATGAAAGTCTAAATAATACTCATAAAAAATAATAGTTACCAAAATAATGGCAGCATGAACTCAACACTGCTCAGTACCCTAAGATCCAAATACTAATTTCCTCTCTCTGTGCTTGTCTCTATAACACTCTCACTAGATTTGGATAAAGTCATATCTCCATCTATATTTAGAAACTGAAAGGACACCATTTCCATCCCAGCATTTCTGTTGAAAAGGGAATATTCATAGAATTTTTGAAGTCAGCACATAAAGGACCTAACAACCGTTCCTCTCAGCCTCCAAATAGCCTATATTTGAGATAACCTAGGATTGTCTGCAAAATACAGAAGAGCTAATTAGTGTATAGTAATATTGTAATAGTAACAATAATAATAAAAAGAAACACTGCTAGGCCATACCTCTATCCATTAATGTGCCAATAAAAAATTCACACACCTGACAACAACAAAAAGCAAAGTGGAAAGGCCCAAAGGGGTCACCTGCTCTTGTTTAAATATGCAGATCATGGACAGTATCTGAAGGTTTGGGGTGTGTGCAATCTCAACAACAGTTTTTGTTTTTGCTCACTTTTTTTTTTGAGGGGGGGTAGAATAGTATTTATCCAACTAACGAGTAACTCAGTCGGTGCATATGAACTGAACAAGTAAGAATGAGAGCATGTATTTGATCTTCTTCAATATCATTTTTGGAAAGAATTAACTTAATTCTGGATCCACTCGAACAAAATTGTATCTGATAAAGGATATATGTGGTTTATCCCAAAATAGTACATATCCAACCTTTTTTTAAAGTCGTTTATGGCTGATGCAGCATCATCAAGATTCTCACTTCAAAAGACCTATGGCTTGGCAGAATGCTTAGATTGCATCAGAGTCGAACCCCACCTGCATTTGCATGTGAATCTTGATGATGCTACATCCGCAAATAACGACTGTGAATCTGTGTCCATGCAACTATAGCTCCTGAAAGAAAGTTTATATTGCCAATCTCATGAAAAAGTTTATATCACAGCTAAAAAAAGCCACAAGTTACACACAGAAAAGATTAATCTCACGGAAAATTGTCCAAACTGAAACTAAAAAAAGGGAACATCATGAAACATAGAGACAGTAATTAAGGAGAGAGTAAAAAAAAAAAAAAGGGTAGAACAAAATAGAGATTTTATGTGCAAATTTTAGCAGCAAGGTTGAGGTGTAGCTGATGTGGCTAGTCACTGGGGTTAAAGTATGTTTAGTACTGAAAGGAATCTACCCAGATGAACTCATTCCACAGAACAATACAAAACAAAAGCCAAATCCCCTATTTTTGAAAAAGAAAAAAGAAAAAAAACCAACTTGACCAAAAAGAATAACAAAAGCTCATACTTTCAGAACCTCTAAAGATCGAATAAAACTGATGCAAATGGGATTTCAACCCAGTTAGTTACCTTCAAAATCTATAGGTGATGATGTGTGGGTTGAAAACATGCTTTTGCCCTTAAAAAGAAGAAGAAGAAGATGAAGATGATGATGAAGAAGAAAAGGAAACGCAGGTAAGATATCAAACCCAAACAACAATCCCTCTTAAGAGTGAAAGAACCAAATGACAATAGGAAAGGGGAAGGGAAAAGTGCTTAGAAGAAATAAAAAGATATACAAATATTGCTGTGAAGTGCTCAAGTCTGAGAAGAATCATATATATATATATATATATATATATATATATATATATATATATATATATACCTCGGAAAAAAATATGTATATACACATAAAGAGTGAGATCTAACACTGAGGAGAAAAGTAGAATGATGAGAGAAAGCAAGTTGAGTCAGATGGTAACAGTAGGAGGAGGTAGTGCACATATATATAGAGAGGGACACAAGGCGTGGCTTTACTGGTTGAAAAACATTGCTTGTGATTGGTGATTTGTTTCTCTATATTTCCATTGGTTGAACTTAGCTCTTTTACTAAGTCCAATATGGCTAATTGAAGATTAAAAAAACTTTTATTTATCAGTAATTAATAAAATATTATATTATTTCCAAAATATATATATATTATATACGTATAAAAATATGAGATAAGTTATATTTATCATTTTTTTTACAACTTTTTATAATCAAATTTATTACTGTTGGATCAAAATCAAATCAACGATTATAAAACAATATCAAATAAGAGCTGTTGATTTGATTTAAATCCAATAATAATAAGATTAATCATAAGAGGAGGTAAGAAAAAATGTGATAAGTATAACTTTTTCCTAAAAATATTACATATAGCATTGACCAACTCAATTTGAATATAAAAATTTATCATTTTTTACCGACCATAATTACTCTTTTAAGACAAGTCGCCCCAATATTCCTACAAGCTTCAACTCTTTTGAGTCAGCTATAAGATTATACTTGAGTCAAGACTTAATCACAATTAAAAATCATCATTTCTTTCAAAAGATATATTTAACAAGAATCAAATACCCACTCTATCCGCCGTGTGCGCTACACCCAGTGGGTATCATTTTTAACTTCTACCGCCTTAGCGCATCCGATTTCAAATAGGTCTCGAAACATAATGGTAATTCAATGAACATTAAGTTTATAATAACGACAGCTTATCTTGATATTGAATTCTTCTCCCTTTTTTTTTTTTTTTGGTAGGTTGAATTCTTCTCCTTTTGTTCACACTTCTGTTTTTTTTTTTTTTTTTTTTTTTTTTTTTTTCTCTTATACATGACTATTAACATAGGCACATGTGGCAACAGAGTGTAGGAATTGAATTTTTTTTATTTTTTTTTTTATAACAAAATTTTATTTTATTTTAAAGAGTTACAACAAATGAAGGTAAAATGTCCCTTATAACTGAAAGGATTCTCAATTACATCACTTTTGATAGTTAAAACTCCTCTCAATTTAATATATATATATATATATATATATATATATATATATATATATATATATATATATATTTGCAGAAAAAGAAAATTATAAATCAAAGGAAATTGTAGATGCATCTTGCAATATAAATTTATATTTGTTACGATATGATAGATCGTGAATGTCCAATCAGTGATTGGTATGTTAATATTGGATTTGTTTGCCCTCTCTCAGGTACCTATAGGAGAGGTACCCTAAAGATAAGCGGATCATTGTGCACTATAATATAACGACATAGTCAAGGCGTGGGGTGTGTGCACAGTGACAAGCTAAGAGAGAGAGGGTTTAGAGTGTGTGTACCTTATTAGTTTAACCCCTTATTAATAGATGGGTTACCTGGCAGGAGTGGACTTTTGGGCCTCTCAGGAGCATTGGAGGTCCAATTGTTGATTCGTTACTGTCGTAGTAAGATTAGCATAATTAAGGAATATTTCCTTAATTCTCTCTTAGTTGTTAGCCCTATTTGGGCCTTCTAGAATGTAGGCTGCTTAGCTGTCTGGATAGGATCATCATTAATAGAAGATTCCCTTCCTGTTTGTGTTGTTCTTTATTGGACCTTCTAGAATATAGGCCTTTGTCAGGTCCATAACAGTTGCCCCTCAGCCAGGCTATCTGGGTATCCGGGTTGCCGGGGTGAATTTCTTTATATCCTGCTTTAGGTTTTCTGCCGAGCTGAGAGCGTTTGAGTTTTTTAAACTCTGCATAACTCTTTGCATATATGCTTCTTATATCTTAGGATTTTTCAACCGGGGTCCTTATTGCCCCTTATCTCGGCAGGCTGAGCATAAACCCGGGAAAACGTTTCATGTATCCCTATGCCGAGTTTGGGATGTTCTTGAGTAGTTGGGATCCAACTGGCGAGTTGCCCCCAAGCATCATACCATATTCATACATCTTGAATTTTCTCCTGGAATCGGAGGTGATTTTCCAGATGTGATTTTCCATAGCTAATTATATGGTCGGGTCATGCATGAACCCGGCGAGATACTCTGCATGTTCAACCGCGTAACGAGTGTGCTTGAGTAGTTGAGATCCAACTGGTGAGTTTCCCCCAAGCCTCATCCATGTAACCCGGCTAAAAGTTGCCCCCTAGCCCGGTAGTTTGGTTGTCCAGGCTGTCGGGATGAAATAGCAGTAATCTCTGCATTTGAATTTCCTTTTATTCAAGTTAGCAGTCGAATTCCTGCTTTGACTTGGCATCTTTATTGAAGAAATTTTCTTTGGTTGGAACTTTTCTTGGCCGACTTAATTGGGTCAGCGGTTGCAGATATTAACTGTCATTCATTCAGCCAATTTTAGTGAACCGAGTATTGAATATGTTGTTTCCATATTTCTCCCTCAACCTTTTTTGGCTGAGGTGGTGCTTTGGTGAGGCAGTGTTTGCCTTCTTTTAACATCGAGCTCGTAGGTGTTCCTTCCGAGGCTTTCGCTTTGAGCCCAACTTCTTGCACTGTGGCTTTATTGTTTCAGATTTAGCTTTTCAGCGTTAACTGAACAAAATGACCTAGCCAAGATCTTTCATGCGGATTCCACTTTTTTCTTTTAACCCAATTATCTTAATTAGGTTTTCAAATTTGAGGCGCCATGGTGACTTGATCAAGGTCGTACCAATCTGCCCTTTATTTTTCAAGCCTGATTTCATTTATAATAGCTTGTACACATGTTGTTTATTTTGACAACAATTAGGATTCAGAAGCGTCCTTTCGTTTTCCTATGCCTCAGCTAGAAGCCACAATCATGCAGTGTGCTTTTTATTTTTAACCCGTTTTCTACCCAGGTTCTTGCACGTTGCTAGACGTAGATTTCCAATACCTTGGCTTTATAATATTTGACTCGGCTTCTTGCCAGAGTGTCATTTTTTGACTTCGACTTATTTCACCGTTTTGACTTGTGAGCCATTTCAGATTGGGGTGTGATCCTTTTTCTAGGATCTCATCTCTCCAAACTTGTCTTCATTCTTTACTCCAGATTTTTATCATGGGTCTTTATCCCGGATTGGGGTGTGATCCTTTTTCTAGGATCACATCTCTCCAAACCCGTCTTCATTTTATCGCGGATTGGGGCGTGATTTTTTCCCAGGATCCCGTCCCTCCAAATCCGTCTTCATTCCATCGCGAATTAGGGTGTGATCCTATTTCTAGGATCCCATCTCTCCAAACTTGTTTTCATTTGTTATCCGAAATTTATCCCGGGTTGTTGCCCATCAGTCCGAAAGTCTGGGTGTTCGGGATATAGGGTTCCTGTTCGTTACTCTTTCTCGCATTTGCGAATATTTTATTCTCAGTGTCTGGAAGTCGGCCATGTTCATGGTCCGAGCCTTTGTTTTGTGATGTATGGCTTTAACTTTATGTCGAATTCTTTCTTCAGATATCCTCATTTGTTTTCCTTCCCGGTAGTTAGGGTGTCCAAAGCGAAGTCTGTTGAACCATAATCTTGTTGGTCAAACTTTTGTGACCGAGGTCTCTATGGGAAGTACGAAAGTTTTTTCCCTTTGACCTCTTTGCGGAAGTTTTATTACTGTCATCGGGATCGTGGCGGTTCATTGATCCATGTTCATGGATTCTTGTCGATCCGTGTTTTGGATTTATTTTTTCTTATTTCTTTCTTTCTTCGGTGTCGGGCCTCATGAGCCGAGTATTGTGTATGTTGTTTCAACATTCCTCCCTCAACTTTTTTGGTCGAGGTACGTAGCTCGGACTAGTTGACCAGTCTTTTTGACTGTCGTACCGAGATATTGACTTATGAGGATTGTTGCTTTCTTTTTTTTAATTTTGGTTGTATTCCTGCACTTGCCCCCCAGTCCGGCAGTCGGGAAATCCGGGTTGTCGGGCTGTATTACTTTAACTCAAGCATTTTTATGTCGGAATACTGACTTGCTTTTGCAATTTGCCTTTTTTGCTGATTTGAGGATCTTTGAGATCCCTCTTTCGGTGATGTTACGAGGTTTTGTTCCCGTTTCTCCGCATGTTTCGTTTGCAGAGTTGAATTTAGCCCAGTTTTATATACTGTAGCTTTATTCACTTGAGCTCGGCTTTGCCAGAATCTCGTTGTGATAAAGTCTTCTGTTTCAACCCGGTTGTGCATACCGTGTGTTTCACAGATTTTGATTTGATAAAAACCATTCACCTTTTTGAGTCCGGCTTGCATTCCCGTGACGTTCAAATAGAATGGGTTAAGACTGCCGCTGAATGATTTTGCCTTTATACTCGCATCTTGACTTTTATGCCTCCCTGATAACTTAGATATATTTTTCTAAGTATTCGAGGTTCATCAAATTCCAGAGTTGCCAGAAGTATTCGTTAAATACTTCTAAGGACTTACCATTCTCTTGATTTTGATAAACAAGCTTGTATCCTTGTTATCTAGGTTTGTAACATAGGCAATTTTCTAAGAATATCAAACCTTACCCGAGTTGTCCCTCATCCGAGACGGGTTATTTTTACAACTCGAATAAATTCTTATTTTCGCAACTCGTGCATTTTACGAGTTTCGGTATATTGACCTGGCCGAGGTCAAAGCATTATATGGATTCCACTTTTTGTCACTCTCCATAACGCATGTTTGTTTTTACTTAACATTTTGTTAAGTCAGCATTGATGAAGGCGATCATTGTCGCATTCAATCATGACCTGGGTTTCATAACCCGGTACTATCCAAGATAAAGGCAGTATTATCACATGTC